GATTTCAAAAAAATCCAGAATTCCCCAAATTAGCTGTATTTTCAGCCCAGGCCAACAGAGAGCATGGACCAACTTTCTGGAATTATCAAAATTTATTATTTATTGAAAATTAATATCTTCTAACTGCAGGTAAACAATTATGAATGGTTGATATACTGAATAATTCTGTAATCCCCTTAAAGATTCCCCTGACACACATACACACACAAGAGAAAGCACAGCTGCTATGGATGATGGGAAAGATGGGAAGGCGGTTCAGTTGTTCATCTTCAAAGTGAAGCTGAGATATTTATGTGATTGTTATGTGGGTCAGAAAACGGCTTCTTGGTCTTCCAAGTGATATCTTGGTGATTATTAGAAAGTTCTGATGATAAGGCATTCTGCTGCTCAGGGCACAAACCAACAAGATCCTTGCTCTCCTTTTCCAACAGGGTCTTGAGGACGTGCTGACCACTTCCTGTTGGACTTCTGGTCAAAGATGTTTCTCTTTGCAAATTTCTCCACAGAGGACAGGTGATGTGGAATGGTCCATTGCATCAACTCCTTAAAAAATGTCAGACTTGGAAATGGTCGCGTAGCCAAACCGTAGCTTTCGGGGAAGTGAAGAAACAGCTCTCATCCCCCAAGTGACATCTGGTATTGACATCTAATCCTTCCCCACACGTAGCTCATAGGTAGCCCAATGGAGAGGAACACCCAATAGCATATGCATCCAGGGCTTTGCCTAATGTAGAGCGTAAATATGCACAGATTCAGAAGAAGGGTTGGGTGGTCATATTTGGATGCAGGAATTTCCACAAATACCTTTATCAGCATAAATTTGTAATAATAACAGACCATAAATCCCTGCTAGGTCTAATTAAAGAGGACAATGCTGTGCCACCCATAGCATCAGGCTGAATTCAGCAGTGGGCTTGGACACTAAATTGGAACACCGTCCGGGAAGCCAAGTGAATGCATTGAGCTACCTCCCACTGGCAGATATACCACTGGTGGTATCGCCACTGCAAGAGTCTGTAATGGTTTTCAATTTTATGGACACACTTCCAGTCACAGCTGATACTATCAGACTTAGACTCAGAAGGATCTGGTCCTGGCAAAACTAAAACAGGTGGTGGTAATGGGTGGTAACCAAAGGGTCGTCACAACCAGAGCTGAAACCTTTTTGAACCCGTAGAGACCAGATCATAGTAGAGGAGGGCATATTATTATGGAGAGCAAGAATGATTGTCCTGAGCAAATGTCGCTGTCAGATACTGGTTCACCTCAACCAGGGTCATCCAGGGGTTTCCACAATTAAGGTGCTGGCAAGAAGTTATGTCTGGTAATCAGGATCGCATGCAGATATAACTGCATTTATTGGGCAGTGCCCAGAGTGCCAACAGGGATAGAAGTTACTGCCAGCAGCTCTTCCACATTCGAGGGAATGTCTGAGTAAACCCTGGACTTGGTTGCACGTCAGCTATGCTGGTCCTTTCAGGGACTCATGTTCTTAGTCATTGTGGACACCCATTCAAAATGGGTGAACATGCATAATGTTCATTCATCAAACATAGGGATGACAATAGAAAAACTGCAGACATCTTTTGCAATACATGGACTCCCAGAAGTATTGGTCACAGATAACAGGCCATTGTTTCCCAGCAGGAAATTTGAGTATTTTCTAAAGTCGATGGTATTCGACACATAAGGCCAGCTTGTATCATTCATCATCCATGGTCTGTGCTTTACATGCCACCCGTATCAGAGGCAGAGTTGGAGGATCCTTTCCCGGTGCTAAAATGCCCGAGGAGGAGCTAGAAAAAAAATAGAAATAGCCTATGTCCTCGAAATCAGAAGGGGAGAGATGTAGTGATTATAACAACGTCAGTCAGGTGGACGTCATAGAATATGAGTTCCCTGATTAGGGCTGATAATCTGGTCCAATTAGGGAACCCTGGCTGACAGATGAAAAACAGGAGTGTCAGACATCCTGTTCACACTGACAGCTGGCTCTGCGTGAGCTGGATCAGTGTCAAGGACTCTCCACATGTAGCTAAAGGGTGACTTGGTGACGCGATACCAGCCTCTGTGAAATTATTTCATGAGGTACTCTTGGTGATTTTGCGTGTGGCGCAAGTCTTGCTCATTCCCAGAACCTGCGCTGTTGTGGTCACCCGAGCCAATTTCCACCTCATCCGAAGGTCTAACATGGACCGTGTCTGCAGGGACTCCGTGTACAAAGGATGGGGAGAGAACGTACCTCATGCTACCCTCACCCTGGTGACCACCTTTGTTTGCAGCTGCATCAAGATGTGCATAGAGCTGCGGTACGCAAACACGAAGTGTTACTATGTACTGAGGTTCTACCTCTCCCGGTGTCATGAAGGATGGGTCTGGCCTCGCTGCTGCAGAATACTCCAAGTAGTTGGACCATTCTGTACAAACTGTCCTTTGTGGAGGAATTTGCAAGGAAAAGCACTTGACCACCTGTCCATCAGGAAGTGGTCAGCATGTAGTGTCCTCGAGACCCTGTGGGAAAAGGGGAGGGTGGATCCTGTTGCATGGTTCCCTGATCAGACTGTCAAAGTCATTTGACAGAATGCCTCATCCCCCGAACTTTCCAACAAGCACCAAGACATCGCTTGGCTGCTGGTGAGAAGGGCACTACCTGTGAGATCCTTTAGGTACACCCAGACCTTTTGCCCCATCGCTGCAGCTGTGGGAGGAGGGGGCATTGGTGGCTAGAGACTATCACACATCTCCTTCTGGAATGTGCTTTTACAAAGGAAGCCTGAAATAGATGCAGTGGTTTTTATCGAGATTCATCTCAAGCAGTTCAATGACGCAGGACTCTGTGCTGTGTGGTCTGTTCCCCGGAACGCACACCGAGGTAAACATCGACTGCGCCTGGAGCACCATCAACTTGGTAAATGACTCTCTTTGGTCTTCCCAAAACTTGTTGGTCTTCCAAAACAAGGTAAGAAGTAAGAAATGCATTTGGTTTCTTGGAACTCTCAGGAGAGTCAAACTCCAATGTGTGAAGTCACATGACACCAGGTCATAGTCCAACAGGATCATTTAAAATCACAATCTTCCAAAGTGCTGCTCCTTTGTCAGGTGGAGACACCTGACAAAGGAGCTGTGCTTAGAAAGCTTGTGATTTCAAATAAACCTGTTGGACTATGACCTGGTGTCATGTGACTTCTGACTTTATCCACCCCCGTCCAACACAGGCACCTCCAACATCAAACTCCAATATGTGTTTATTTTTCATATGCTAAGACGGTACAGAACCAAATTGCTTTCATGACTATGTATGTGCATAAAAATTTTCCTATGAATATTTCATGAAATAAAGAGAAATGACCTACGAGTTATTCGAGAAAAGCAATATGGACTATCACTGCCTGGCAGGAGACGATACTGAGGCCCAATATCATTTAGTGACGATCACACAATCAAACCCTGGGGATGCTGGAAATTAGAAATAAAATCACAAAATGCTGCAAATCCTCAACAGGTCAGGCAGCATCTGTGGACAGAGAAGCAAGATTACACAGTTAAATACTGGGGATACTGGAAACCCTGGGAAAGAGTGGATTTTGTGTAATTCCCCTCCCCAATGATACAAGGAGCTCAATAGAGCATGCTGTGTAAATGCAGCTCTGTCACCCTTCAGTGTTTGGATTTCCCCCTCACGATTTCATGTTCTGGGTGTGCAGTGAGAAATGGAAGTGCAGGGAAATCCTAGCTCCAGACTGGGAAATAGGTGAAGAGATGGAGGATGGGACTGGGGGGTTTGACTGAAGCAGGGAGTAAATGAAGGAAGGAAAGGGACACCATATATTTAATTTACTTTCTATTTTAATCCTCTGTTATAAATTGGAGGTTGACACCCCTCGGATAACTAAAACCAAAACACCCAGAGACGAGCACCTCGCCTCACAATTTGTTAAAGAGGAGTATGAAAATTGGTATAGCCAGTTTCTTCCACAACTTCTAGTGGTTAAACAAAATGAATCCCTGACACTCATTTTACAATTAACAAGTGACAATTTATTTATCTAACTCTAAGAGTAAACAAACTAATTTATTAACAAACTGAATAGACCCATTCTAACTACTAACCATTCCCGAATAAAACAAGATTCTAATAGTATGCTGTTCCAATAAATTTATGTCCCACATATAAAATAAAGTTAAAAAAAGTTAGAATTTAGCCTCTCAAAATGGCAGCCAGGTTACGTCTATCGTAATTTTCTGTACCTTCTTCTTCGAATGTGCTGTCAGGAACACCTCCTCCATTGATTCAGCTGTCGGAAACGCCTTCTCCATCAATCCATCTGTCAGGAATATTAGCTAGTTGTGCCATAGGTACCCTTGATTTAGATGGTGCTTTCTCTAAAACTTAGAGCAGACTGTGAAAGCTAGTGATGCTTTCTTGAGAGCTGAGAGCTGTTAACTCTGGGAGATGGTGATTATTCTCCTGCTTTTGCCCAATTGCCCCTTCTTTTAGACCCTTGATGACGTATCACAGAACAGAGAACAGTACAGCACAGTACAGGCCCTTCGGCCCACGACGTTATCCTACTCTAAGATCAAACAATCCTGCATACCCTACATTTTACTATCATCCATGTGCCTATCCAAGAATCGCTTAATTTATCTGACAATTCCTTACAATAGGATTGGTCCTATGTTGTCAAAACCATCAGATTTTAAATTTAATTGGCCTTTGATATCCAAGCGCCTGATTCAGATTGATTGGCTAAATTCAAACCTATTGCCTTGATAACAAAACATAACTGCTGCTTAGTCTGTTCACTGTACGGCTTCTGTTTTGATACAAATGTTTCAATTCAAATGCTTTCTGTGTCCCTGCAAACACATAAACTGCCCACAGACATCCCTTTTGGAATCCCTAAGCTTAGAAAAAGCACATCATCTTTTAAAGGGAATACGCACTGCTTTCCCTCTTATATTTTACAAACACCAAATTCTAATGTCATGCCTTCCAATTATCAAGTACTCTACCCAACTTACAACATCGCTGACATTTATATTTATATTGCAGTTATACAGTCTGGTTGTGATTTTACAAAAAACAATCTGGAAATTCAGTGTCACATTTTGTAACAATGTGTTGCCAATGGAGGTTTCTGACCCCAATCATTGATCTCTGATGCTACCCTAATCCCAGGGTCACATCATAGTGATGTCGGGGACATCCTAAGGCCTGCCCCTTTAACAGGGGCAGATTCTCAGAAAGTCGTTTGAATCAGATGTCCAGAAGAAAGGATAAAGTTTCTCAGTGAATTTATTCCCAGTGAAGGTGTGGAGATGGGACTTGGTGTCTGCGTTGTAAAATGAAACTGTCCCAGATTCATAATTGAGATAAACTCCCACTTTCCCAGGGATCTGACCAACTGGGAGACGGGATGAAGGAGAGGAGTTTATGTAAAACTGGTTCTCATCCTGCTCAATGGTCCAGAATCCATTCTCCAGGATCAGTCTGACCCATCTCTTCCTCTCCACAGACCCTGAGGCTACTCCCAGACTCCAGCTACGATTCTCCCCCACCTTCACCTCCCAGTAATGTCTCCCCGATGTGAATCCCTGTGATCCCAGGGCACAGTCCCAGTTTGTAAACCTCTTCCTGGTGTCAGGGAAACTCCTCTGGATCACGGTCCATCTCAAATTCTTCAGATCTTCAGACACCTCGAGCCGGGGATTCGCTGTTTCCACATCCAGGGTCACAGAGACTGGGAGAAAAAAAGCAGAATTACAGACTGTGTGTGTGTGTTTCAGTGAGGTGGGATGTGTGTGTGTTTGAGAGTGATGAGTGTCTGCTTGTGGGAAGGGGAGAATGTACATGTGTATGTTATGGGGTATTGCATTTGGGGGAGACGTATGTGTATGTGGGGTGTGTTGTATCGGCGGGAGGGGTGTTGTGTGTGCATCTGTGGGGATGCTTTGTTTTTGGAGGGAGTATATGTAGGGGATGGGTGAGGAGGGAGGATTTGTGTGAGGGCATTGTTGTCTGTGTATATGGGGAATGTGTGTGGTGGGGGCATGTGCATGGGTGGGAAGAATGTGTGTCTGTGTTTGTGCAAGGACTGTTTGTGGGGACATGTGTATGTTGGTGTTTTGAGATGTATGAGTGGTTGTGAGTGTGTGAGGGTGTATTGTAAATGCATCTGTGGAGGAATTGTGTTTGTGTGTAAGTGTGTGTTTGTGGCACTGTTGTGTTTGTGGGGGTAAGTGTATGGGTCGTGGATATGTGTGGCAGGGGAATGTAAGGGTGTGCCTGTAAGGGTGTGTGTGTGGGTGTATGTAGGAGGCTGAGGATGTGTGTGTGGGGGGGCGCCAGCGTATGGGATTGGAGGGTTGTGTGTGTATGCAGGGATGTGGTTGTGTTAGTGTGTGGGAGGCATTGGTGTGTGTGGGATGGGTTTGTGTTTCTGTTTGGGGGCATGTGTGTGACTAAAGGGGTGCTGGGTTATGTGTGGGGGTGGTCTGTGTCTGGGTGGATGGATGTGTGTTAGGGGTGGGGATGTTTGTGAGGGGAAAATGTATGGGGAATGGTTTGTGAGTCTGGGGGGAGGTTGTGTGTGTATGTGAGGTTGGGGATGATTGTGCATGCATGTTTGGGGTATTGTGGCTGCATTGTGGGAGGTACATATGTGCATGAAGGATATGTGTGGGGGTGCAAATGTATCTGAGAGGGGGAAGTGTGTGGGGGTGGTTTGTGTGTCTGTACAGAGGGGAGTGATGTATGAGTCAGGGTGTGTGTTGGTTTGAATGTCTGTATGGGGGTGGCATGTGTTTTTGGTGGGATATATGTGTGTGGGGGATGTGTGTATTGGGGTGCATGTGTATGTGGGTGTTGTTTATCTGTGGGGCATTTGTGTGTGTATCTGTGAAGCTGTTGTGTTTGTGGGTTGTATATCAGTACGGGATGTGTGTTGGTGATGTGTTGTCCTGTCTGTGAGGAGTGCGTGTGTGGTGGGTGTGCAGGGTTGTTGGTGATGTGGGTGCAGGAGAATGTGGGTTTGTCTGCTGGGGGGGAGGGTGTGCGCATTTTGGGGAGATGTGGTTGTGTTAGTGTGTGGGGAGATTAGGTGCTTGTGATGGATATATGTGTGTGGTCCATGTGAGAGTGCAGGTGTGGAGCAAGTTTTGTGTGTGTGTTTGAAAGGGGTCGGGAAGTGTGTGTGTAGGATATTGGTTCGTGTGAGTGTTGGGAGTGATTGTCCATGGGTATGGGGATGTTTGTGTACATTTATTGGGGGTGGATGTGTGTGAGTGTTGTGTGTAGGGGGAGTGGAACATGTGAATGGGTGGGATGCTTTGTGTGTCAGGTTGCGGGGGTGATGTATTTTGGGGAATGAGTTGAGTGTGTGTGTGGAGGATATACATGTGGGGGGGAATGATGTGTGTGTGAGTGTGGGCAGGGGGAATGTGAGTGTGTGTATGGAGGGAGTTGTTTGTGTGTGTGTGAGTGTGCGAGTGTGTGTGTACATGTGTATGAGTGCACATGTGAGTGTGCATGTGCATGTGTGAGTGTGCGTGTGTATGTGGAGGTGGAATGTCTGTGTCTGGGGGGCTGTGTTTATACATATGTCTGTTTGGGACTGCCTCTGTGTTTAGGATATGCATGTATGACATATATGCACATGAGTGTGGGGTTTTGTGTTTACGTATGTGGGGGAGATTTTATGTGTGTGTTATGAAGAGGTTGGGTGTGTGTCTCTGAGGGGGTGATGTGAGTGCGTGGCAGACTCAGGTATGTAAGCGTGGGAGCAGGTGTGTGTGTGTGTCTGTGTGTGTGTATGTGTGTCTCTGTGTGTGTGGGGGATGCATACATGTTTGGGGGTGGGGATTTGAGTGTGTGTGTGGGCAAGTTTGTGCTTTGGTGGCAGTGTGTGTTTGGGGGTCTGTGTGTATGTGTGTGTGTGTGTGTATATATGTGTGTGTATATGTGTGTGTGTGTGTGTGTGTGTGTGTGTGGTGTTTTTGTGAGCTTTAGGATGTATGTATATGTCAGGAGAAGTGTGTGGATCAGCATCATATTGTGAAGTGCAGTTTGAGGTGAGTAATAAATGTGGGTCTTGACAGTGACCACAAATGCTACAAATGAAAAATAATTTTAAAAGCTACATTGAAGAATAAGTGATTCAAGTTCATGTCTTTTCTAAATCCACTGCTTCCATGTTAGTCCAGCCTTTTTCATGCTTTTACTCTAAGTTTACAACCAATGGAATATTGCTCCAGCTGTCTCAGTGCGAACAAGCTCCTGTTTTTTCGAGTAATACTGTCATTCATTATTTGCCAATATTGTGTGGGAATGAAATGTGTTTTTCACAAAATTGTAAGTGGAAATGCTGAATCTGATCTCAGAATACCAATTAAACCTCCTGAAACTCAATGCCATCGTTAGGAATTCAGCTGGTACTGTTTGGACTGAAGTAGGGGCCTTTGGGAAAGAGCTTTTTTGAAACAGTGGAGACAGGTCAGAGAAGTTTCAGTTGGTTGATTCCTTGGATGAAGCAGTTTCCTTGCGATGAAAGGTTTCAGGCTGGGGCTGTACTCACTGGGGTTTAGAGGAATGAGAGGTTCTTATTGAAATGTTTAACATAGTGAAGGTGCTGACAGAGTAGATGTTGAGAGGCTGTTTCCCATCGTGGGGGAATCTGGAACCGGGGACAGAGTTTCAAAGTAGGGAGTCTGCCAATTACCATGGAGATGAGGAGGGATTTTGTGTCTCGGGATCATTAATCTTTAGAATTCTCTATCCCCGCGAGCAGTGGAGGCCAGGTCATTAATTTTATTTGAAGCTGAGTTAAACAGGTTTTTGATCAATGAGGGAGTCAAAGGTAGTGGAGGTCAGGCAGGAAAATGGAGTTAAGGTCATAATCAAATCAATCATGATCTTTGTGAATGACAGAGCAAACTTTAGGGGCCACTCCTGCTCCTCATTCTGATGGACAAATGTTCTTACGGTATTTTCACTTGTACATTGTTTTGAGTTGTCAGCTTTTGAGTTTCTTTCCTTCTTGTGTGTTAAACAAATAACACTCACAAATTCCCTTCCACTCTAGAAATAAATAATAAATAGACTAAAGAACTTGCTGTGATATGAAGCATAAATAATAGCACAGAAAGGTTTTCAGAGACATTTTTAAATGTGGGTGATACTGTTTAAAGGACCACCCATGGCGTTGCCCATTACAAATTAGAAATTAAGAGCTGAATTTTCATGACTACAACCGAGGCGCTAGCTCCTGTTGGGATGTTTCTGGACTCGCTTCAGTAAAAAGAATCTGAATTGTGCAATTTTCACTCCAAAGGCAGTGGTGGGTTAGGGTGTGGGAGTTGGGGACATTGGATGGGTGTGAGTGCAGTGGGAAAGTCTGGGACAGAGTGGGGCCTCACTGATCCTGGAAACAGATCCTGGGCCATCAAGGCAGCAGGCGAGTGCTGAGATGGGCTGGTTAGAAGCCCTGCCTTGGTTCTCTGGGACTTCCTCCCCCTGCCGCAATAAAACCAGGGATTTCTACCCCCGAACTCTCTAATTCTTTCACCCAATCCCCATGGCCCCTTATACTCTCCATGCCAACTCATCTCCCAAAACAATTCCCATGCCCCCGCGAGCTCAATGTCAACTCATGCCCTTCAGACACTCCTCGTGATTCCTCATACTTCCCATGTCAACTCAATGTCAAATTATGTCCCAGCAACTGGGACTGAATGATATGAGCTGTGGTGAGAATCATGTAAGAAAGCCAGTGAGGTCTTTCTCAATGTCAGGAGCAACTCATTGCATTTTCAAACAGAGTTCCAGCTCAAGACGAGATTCTGTCTATTGACGAGCTGAACCCCTCAGTGCTCCCTCCCTCACTAAGTGATCCCACAAACAACGGATCAGATCTAAGCTCTGCAGTCCTGCCACATCCAGTCATGGATGGTGGTGGACAATTAAATAACTCACTGAAGGAGTTCCATAAATATTCCCATCCTCAATGATGAAAGAGCCCAGCACATCAGTGCAAAAGATAAACCTTCAGCCAGAAGTTCCAAGTGGATGATCCATCTCAGCCTCCTCCAGTGATCCCCAGCATCACAGACACCAGTCTTCAGACAATTCAGTTCACTCCATGTGATATCAAGAAATGATCAGGGGCTCTGAGTTTCAGAGGGATCTGTGAATCTTTAAAGAAGTGAGTACGTAGAAGCACTGACCATAAAAACAGGAGAGTTGTTGAGGAGTATGTTACATGGATTGGCCTTTCAAAATAATATTGACTGTTACTAAGACTTTTCTGTAAATAGAAAACACAACAATGGACAGTTAGAAATCTCTGAGGCTATTCTGAGAGAGTTACTATTTCAACTGAAGGTAGAGCTAAAGCCAGGTGTTGGTTAGCTCAGTTGACTGGATGCTGATTTGCAATTTGAATGATACGAACAGAAGGGGTTCAATTCCTAAACTGCAAGAGATGACCGTGAAAGTCCCACTTTCTCAACTTCACCCCTCGCCTCATGTTAAACCACCTTCAGTTGTCTCTCATGAGAGAGCAGCCTGATGGTCCTCTAAGACTATAGTGTCTTTACCTTACTTTTACACAGAATGAGCAGATTGCCTCATGAGAAAAAGCTGGACAGGCTCAGCCTGTATCCTCTGGAGTTTAGTCAAGCCTGCGCAAGCCATCAATAGGATCATGGCTGATCGAACATTCTTCACATCCATATTCCTGCCCTTTCCCCATTTCCTTTGATTCCCTAACGATTAAGAATCTATCTCGACCTTAAATATCCGCAAAGACTCAACCCCCACAGCTGTCTGTGGCAAAGACTTCCAAAGAGTCACAAATCTCTGAGACAAGGAATTCCGTCTCATCATTATTCTGAGACTATGCCCTCTGGTCCTAGATTCTCCCAAGAGGGGAAACAGCTTCTCAGAATTTACTGAGTCAAGCCCCACAGGAATCCTATATGTTTCAATGAGATCATCTCTCATTCTTCTAAATTCCAATAAGTAGAGTCCCACCCTGTTTCACCTTTGCTCATAAGATAATTGTTTTATACCTGGGATCATCCTAGTGAAAGTTCTGTGATCTGCATTCAATGAAATAACATCTCAAATAAACGGACTAAAACCGTTCATAGTACTCCAGAAGATGTCTCACCAGCACCTTGTACAGTCACAGCAAAATTTCCCTACTCTTTTAAATTTCAACCCCCCTTTAAAATGAGGACGAACATTACATAAGCCTTCCAGTTACCTGCTGTAACTGTGTGCTAGCTTTCTGTGTTTCATGCACAAGTTCACCAATGTCCCTTTGTGTTGCAACTTTCTGTAGTGTTTTTTTCCCCATTTAAATAATAGTCTATCAAATGAATACTTTATTTGCCAACTTTTTGACCACTTAACTGACCTATCAATATCTCTCTGTAAACTGTTTGCACCCTTCTTGTTAATTTCCTTTCTCCCTAATTTTGCACTGTCTGCAAATTTGGCTACAGCACATTCACTTCCTTCCTTCAAATCATGAATATATGCAGTAATTACTTGCAATCCCAGCACTGATCACTGTTGAACCCTATTAGTTACAAATCACCAACATGAAAAAGTATTCCTTATCCCCACTTGCTGTTACTGCCCATCAGCCAATTCTCTTTCATTGCCCAAATATGACCCCAACACCATGGGCTCTAACATTATTACATAACCTTATGTGAGGTACCTTGTCAAATGCTTTCTGGAAGTCCAAATGCACCACATCTTCTGGTTCCTATCTATCCACTCTGGTTGAGACTTCCTTGAAATTCTCTCATAATTTAGTCAGATATGAATTCCCTTTCATGAAGGCATGTTTACACTGTTTGAATAGATTATGATTTTTCCAAATGTTTGCTATTACTTCCTTCTCTTTTGGAAAAGGGGTGTCACATGACAGTTTTCCAAACCTGCAGTGCTTCTCTAGAATCCAAAGCTTGAAAAATTACAACCAATGCATCCACTATCTCTGTAGCAACTTCTTCTTGCACTCTAGGAATCAGTCATCTAGGTTAGGGGACTTACCGACTGTTAGCCTCATTAATTTGCCTAATATTATTTCTCTCATGATAGTGATGGTATTTATGGTATTTAATTTCTCTTCCTATGTTCTTTTGTATTTTTGTGATGCTCAATGTATCTTCCACCATAAACATGGACACAAAATATCTGTCTAACTCCTCTGCCATTTACTTGTTCCCCATAACTATCCTGCCAGATTCATTTTCTAAGGGGCCTACTTAAAAATCAAAGCTCAGAAGCTTCCAAACTTTCTGTCAAATTTCAAAGAAAAACTCATCAAAGTGTGACTTAGCCAGAAAGCATTTGTAGAGTGCTCAACAATTAACACACAAATTAACTTGTTGAAAATATATTGGCAAGTTCTCCTGAATGATAGAACCAGAAATATCAGTTTTTGCGTCACCTGATGGACTTTACCAGTGTAAGGTCACACCATTCATAATGAAAAAGCAAACAGCAACTTTTCAACGATTAAACAATGAGGATTATGCAACCATGTTGTATACATTCATAATTTGTTTCTGTTTAACTAAACCTGGGCAGAAAATTTGCACCAATTGACTAAACTTCTTTATGTGTTGTAAAGAATCGATTTTGTCATAAACCTGGCTAAAAGTTAATTTGCCAAAGTGAAAGTAACTTGCATGGGCTACACTGTGGGATAAAGATAAGTCACAGCAAGAGATCCAAACAAAAAAACCATCTTGGAAATTCCCACACCTAAGGCAAAACGTGAAATTTTGTGGAATATCAGCATGTGTGGATTTTATTGGACATTCGTTCTGAACTGGATTGGATTATATCCTTTGACAATTTTGTAAAAAGCAAAAATTTTGAATGGGCAAAACAACATCAGAGTGCCTTTAGTAACCTGAGATCTGTACTGCCGCACTGATGGAACTAAATGATGATTAACCATTAGAACTGCAATGATGCCAATGATATTAGCATTGGTGCAGTATTATTACAAGTGAACAATATGAGGATCGAATGGTCAGTCAGTTATTTTTGATGCAAACTCACTTCATGTCAACAGAAACATTCAACTGTGAAAGAAAGGACTTCTGAGTTTGCTATTGATTTTGCAAGTTTTTACAGTCTATATATCTAACAACTCTGCAAAGACTTATTTATATCGACTAAGTATTTCTTCTTCATGAGATGTCATTGCAAGAATTTGAGACTGTTTCTTGGGAGTTTAAATCTACAACTGTGTAATTTGACATCTTTCACGGTAGACAATTTATGACAGATGTTTTGTCAAGAGTCGATAAGGTAGAAAACAAATGATGCAAGCAAAATGGACTTGTAGAGAATATGATTGGTATGGACACTTTGGATATTTAATGTGAATTATTAGTCAGTGATTTTTTTTAATAAATTGAATAGGCTTTGTGATAAGAGGTGACTGTAATAGGAAAAATAAAATGCATATTAAAGATATCTTATCACATCTTTTTATTCATAAAATATTGTTTTTTTTGTAAACTTGTGTTCTAAAGTAGAGGTGAATAGGATTTAAATTTTCGGTTCTGTAAACATAATTTTTTGAAAGGCTCATAAACTTATTTGTTTTAGTGGTAATTTGATGTTTCTGATAAGATCTTTCCATATTGTCTGTTATACATAGAATTGTGCTTTGTCTTTTCTTTTGTGTGATAAATTTGTGTTCTTTGGTTAAAAGTACATTCATAGCCTTTTGTTCATATGTTCGGTGACTGACCAGTACAGTAATCAATTGCAAAAACAAAGAGTATGATCTGTCAAGCCAGCTTTCACTGAGGTATGTCTTGTCCAACATTACCACCAGCTGGGATCACAATACTTTCTTTGATCATGTTACTGAATATTCTGTTGTAAAAAATGCCTAAGCTTAGCAGGGTCAATGCAGATCTGAAAACAGACATGTGATCAACAAGAATCCCCTTAGGAAATTAGCCTAACCAGCATTGCATTGGAAGGGTAACTCAACAATTCTACCCTCCAAGTGTGTTAAATGCAAGAAACTGAACCCATTGCTGGAATGACTGAGTACCAGCTCACAGAGAGTCAAGGTAATTGGGAAAAGAAGAAGTATTCCATTGTCTTGTTCTTTCTTCCAAAGTGCATCCCTCACACTCAAAACATTAACTCTGATTTCCTCTCCATTGATGCTGCCAGGCCTGCTGAGTTTCCTCAGCACTTTTTATTGTTTTCAGATCTCCAGCTTCGGCAGTTCTTTCTTTTATTTCATTCTCTAAGGGACTGATATTCACTTTGCATTCTCAAGTCTGTTTTACCTCTTTTTCTTTCTTCTCCAGAGATGCTGCCAGATGAACTCAACCATTTTCTGTTTTTGATCCCTTACTTCATCAAAAATTCTTGTAAATTTGTCAGGCTTGATTTCCCTTTTATGAAGCCATGCTGACTCTGCCTGATCATATTAAATGCTCAGCAACTACATCTTTTAGAATAGACTGTAACATTTTCCCAATCACGCACATCAAGCTAACTGACTGAAATTTACAGACAGGAGAAATAATAATGGGGAACCAGGAAGTGGCAGAGAAGCTGCATTAATATGTTGCATCAGTCTTCACAGTAGAAGACAGCAACATCATATCAAAATTACTGAATATACAGGGGGAAAATCACAGAGCGGTAATCAATACAAAGACTGTCATGAGACAAAAAGTGTTGGAAAATTATGGGATTAAAGACTGATACGTTCCCTGGACCTGATTGGAGCTACCCAGACAATTGATGCACTGGTAGTAATCTTTCAGGAATCCTTAGACTCTGGAAAAGTCCCAGAGTATTGAAAAACTTCCAATGTAGCAGCTTTATTAGAAAATTGAAGGAAACAAAATCAAAGGTAACTTTCTGCTTGGACTGGAGGATTGGAGAGGAGGTGCTTTTTATAAAACTACACAGAGAATCAGACCATAGCTGGAAAACTGCATTCCCATGTGCTCTGTATGACAGTGGAGTTTTTCCTTGATTCCTATTGAGTCCAGTTTTGTGAGGACTCCTTTGTGCTGTGTGAAGACAAATGCCATGTTGATGTCAATGCTAGTCAAAGCCATTATTATCCAGCTTTCTTTAGAACTAAGTGTTTAATTATACTGTCATTAACATTTGTATTCACAACAATCCAAATTTTAAAATATATATCAGGGCAAAGGAACTTATCTGAGCTTTACCAAGTTTAATGGCCTCCAGCATTTCTCTCCACACTGGAAATGGGAAAAAGATGTTGAATTTTTCAGTGGACAGGGCACCATCTGTTAGTGACATCTCATTATCATCATCACTAATCCTGCAAACATCAAACATTAATTTATTATAAATCCCACACAAAGACTTTCTTGAGTAATTTCAGAAACATACACTGAGTTTCAGTAAAGTGTATGTCCTACCTCCTCTTCCGAGATATTTCCTCCTGAAATAAACAGAACACAAATCTCACTTAACTGATACTGACTGTATATATCCAGAAAGCAGCAATTACACATTGTTACAAGCTGTTGAGAATTGCCAATTCTGATTGTTGTGGACATGGAATAGAAGAAGGATGTGACACAAAGGATATCGATGACCAGGAGAATGTATAAAAACAAATTGCAAAAGATTGAAGGAAACATTAATATATTTTAATAGGATAAAGATCTGATTCAAATGTTTACAATCACGAAAGGGGTTGATTCTGTAGATTCAATGAATATTTTTCTACTTCTAAGGAATTTGATCACTTGGACCTGTGAACATGATTTGTTATAAATCAATCCAATGGGGAGTTGTGGAAAAACCTCTTCATCAATAAAGTGATGAGAATGTGGAATCCACTGTCACATTCTAATTGAGACAAATGTGTTGAACAGGAAAGTGGGGAAATCTATGAGGGAGAAAGGAGCAGGGGGAGATATTGACAACGGGAATGAAGGAGGTTGAGCATCTGCATTATGTTGGGACTGTTCACAGTCACACTTCCACTGAACTAAACTGATATATAATCATTCACCTTCAGAAATATCACTCCATCTTTTTGTTCCAACTGTTTTTCCAACATTGAGAGTTTCTTCTGAAGAGAGTTTAAATTATCTTGAATTTCATAAAGGTTTTGCTCCATTGTTTTTAGAATGTTTTCCTCTTGTTCTCTGAGATCTCGGATTAAATTCTACTCTTTCTCAGTGAGAAACTGGTGCATTTTAGTGAACTCAGATTTGATGTGGGTCTGCAGACTGCTAGATTCCTCCTATCAGGTGAAACATAAAAACACATGGTTTTGCAAAAAAAAAAAAACAGCAGATGAACAAATCAAATTTTGAAGCTGCGCTCTGGGAGATTTTACCTGAATTTGGGAAATCCTCTGTTTCTGCTGCTGTTCCATTTCTAGAGCTGCTGATTTCTTCTCTGTGAGAGAATCTAAGGAAGATTTCACCCAATCCTGGGATTGGGAGAAAAAACTGAGAAAATAAAAGTGTGAGACCATGAAAATGTGATGAAATAATCAGGGGATGAAATCTGTTTCCTTTTACCTTGTAGATTTCCACAGCTTCTTTCACTGGGATGATATGGTGCTCTTTGTGTTCCTGCAAATCTTTGCAATTCATACACATCAATTTCTTATCAGTTTCACAAAACAGCTTCAGTTCTTCATGGTGTCCCTCACAGGGGCATTTACCTTCCTTCTTTTGCGGATTCAAACACAATTTTCGAGCTTTCTCGGCAAGATTTGCTAAGACCCAACAACCTATGAACTTTCTTTCCGGAAACTCCTGCCTACGTTCCGGGCAGGAGTTTATCTCGTTCTTCTCCCAGCTCTGGGTGATACAGGAGCGGCAGAAGTTGTGTCCACACTCCAGTGTAACTGGATCGGTGAAGAAATCCAGACAAATGGGACAAATTGCGTCCTTAGTCCAACTCTCCCCTTGTAGTTCGGAATCCATGTTCATACTGAGCAATTCCTGTTTTAAATCCCTTTTAGATTCGATATTCTTTTCTTTGTTTACACTTCTGTTCAGCAAATACCCTATTATGCTTGCTGCAAGACTCGGAATTATTCTTGTACACTAATCTAAAAGACCAGACAACGAGCAGTAGTCAGGAGAAACAGACAGGACCGAAGGAGACAAACTGAAAGCAGTCAAGAAGAGTGAAATTCTGTGGAGGTGAAAGTCCCTGGAATGTAGGTAGTGGGAGTGGCTGGAAGGAGGAGGGGAAGAGGTGAAATTTTATTTCTGTAAATGACAAGAATTTTGCTGTTCTCTTTCCTATTTCAATCTGCCAAGGACTTCTTTTAAATTCATTTATGTGTCGCAAAATGTGTCTCCTTTGCCCATCTTTAGGTGATACAGGACCAGCAGAAGTTGCGTCCAAAATCCAGACAAATGAGACAAACTCTCTCAAGGATCTAATTCTTTCCCTGCTGTCCGAAATTCAGGCTCACGCTCAACACGGCCTCATTCAAACTCTTTCTAGTTTTGATTTTTTTTGTGAAAACGTTCAGTTCAATAATTTTACAAAGAAACTTGACGCAAGACTCAGGAAATTATTGTTGCACACTTACCTATTTCCCATTCATTGTTACATGACAAGATCAAACTTAGAACAGCAGTCAGAAGGAGTGAAAGGAGAAGTTCAGAAGAGAAAAGATGAACGCCAGCGGGAGGTGAAAGTCCATGGAGCTGAAAGTGGATAGTATCTTGACACTGGGAGTATTTTTTTCTTGCAAAAATATTCTTTTATAGTGATTGGAGCCAGGGCCAGATGGATCTCATTAACTATGAGATCCCTGATTGGGGTTGTTAACCTGGACCAATCAGGGACCCTGGCTGACAGATGCAAACAGGAGATTCAGGGAGTCTGCTGACTTCAGGGACTTGCTGCAAACTGGCTGGTCAGCAACTTTTGTAACAACAAAAATAAGCAGGAGATCCAGAGAGTTTCCTCACTGTAGGGACTGGTTCTGAGTTAGCTGGTCAGAGGCCATGTATGTGTATATGTGTAAATAAAGGATGGCAGGATACCTGCCTCCATGCAGTTATTTCAACCTTATTCCTAAAGAAAAAGTCTTTATCTATGTTAATGGGTGCAAAAACAGTTTTGTACAGTTTTTGCATATCAAGAGAAACAAACAATGGAATTGGATATTCCCTGAAGGTGCAAAAACCAAAGGCATTTATTACTCATGCAGGACACTATTTACACACATTGAGGCAATGAGAGGGTCTGATAACTGAACAGAACCTCACTTAGCTTCAGCAGGAAGACCTCAGACAGTGGTCTTTCCCTTTTGCACCTTAGCAGCGGCTGCCCCAAACTTTAGTGCGTCCCTCAGCACGTCGTCCTGGACCTTGGAATGAGCCAGTCTGCAACATTCGGTTGGGGTCAACTCCTTGTTTTGGAAGACCAACAATATTCAGGCAGACCAAAAAGTCTCTTTCACTGAATTGGTGGTCCTCCAGGCGCAGTGGTTGTTTGTTGTGGTGTGTGTTTTCCAGGTAACAGATCATAGAGCACAGAGTCCTGTGTCATGGAGCTGCTCGGGACGAACTTCAACAAAAACCATTGCATCTTTCTCCAGACTTCCTTAACAAAGGCATATTCCAGGAGGACATGAGTCACAGTCTCTACCCCACTCCCTGCAGCCGCTTTGAGCGTAGCCGGTTGTGGCGTAGAGAGTCTGGATATGCATGAAAGGTCTGACATTCAATGGATGTGGCCATCAAGATGAAGGCGGAATTGGATATGTTCTTCCCACATTTCCACAGCTACGTACATGGTGTTCCTGAGGACACGGTCTGTCTTAGACCTCCGGATGACGTGAAAGATGGCTTGGCTGACTGCAATGGCGTAAGGCCTGGGAAACGGGCCCGACCTGTGCTACGTACAATTACAAAGAGATTGCCTCACACCTGATGACTAGATTAGCAGTCCCACGATAACAACACTAGGCCATTGCCTCCCCGTGTATGTGTGCAATATCCTGACAAAGGCCTTCTCCTTGTCGAGACTGATGAGACAGGAGTCCAAACCACTCCCATCCCTCCCCCACCTCATCCTGCACATAGATGATCATATAGACATAGAACATAGAACTGTACAGCACAGTACAGGCCCTTCGGCCCATGATGTTGTGCTGAACTTTTACCCTAAACCTAAGGTCTATCTAACCTCCACCCCTACCTTATACTATCATCCATATGCCTGTCTAATAGCCGCTTAAATGCCCCCAATGAGGCCAACTCCACTACCCTCTCCGGTAATGCATTCCACGCTCCTACCATTAGTAAAGAGTAAAGAACCTACCTCTGATGTCTCCCCTATATCTACCTCCACTCACTTTAAAACTATGCCCCCTCATAATAGCTACCTCCACCCTCGAAAAAAGTCTCTGGCTGTCCACTCTTTCTATACCTCTGATCATTTTGTACTCCTCTATCAAGTCACCTCTCGTCCTTTGTTGTTCTAAAGAGAAAAGCCCTAGCTCTCCCAACTTTTCCTCGTAAGATCTTCCCTCCATTCCAGGCAACATCCTGGTAAATCTCCTCTGGACCTTTTCCAACGCTTCCACATCTTTCCTGTAATGAGAGGACCAGAACTGGACACAATACTCCAGATGTGGCCAAACCAGGGATTTGTATAGCTGGAGCATAACTTCACGGCTCTTGAACTCAATCCCTCTCTTAATGAAAGCTGACAAACCATGCGCCTTCTTAACAACTCTATCCACCTGGGTGGCAGCTTTCAGGGAACTATGCACATGAACCCCAAGATCCCTCTGCTCCTCCACACTGCCGAGAATCTTTCCGTTAACCCTGTATTCTGCTTTCAAGTTTGTCTTTCCAAAATGAATCATCTCACACTTTTCAGGGTTAAACTCCATCTGCCACTTCTCAGCTCAGCTCTGCATCCTATCAATGTCCCTTTGTAACCTAGAACTGCCCTCTGCACTATCCACAACTCGACCCACCTTCGTATCGTCCGCGAACTTACTAATCCACCCTTTCACTCCTTCATCCAAATCATTTACAAAAATCACCAATAGAAGAGGACCCAGAACAGATCCTCGTGATATACCACTCGTAACTGAGCACCATGTTGAATATTTTCTGTCCACTACCACCCTTTGTCTTCTAAGGGTCAGCCAATTCTGAATCCAATCTGCCACATTTCCCCCTATCCCATGACTTCTTACTTTCTGCATGAGCCTAGCATGGGGAACCTTATCAAACGCCTTACTTAAATCCATGTATACCGCATCCACTGCTCTACCTTCATCCACGTGTTTGGTCACCTCTTCAAAGAATTCAATAAGGTTGTGAGGCATGATCTACCCCTCACAAATCCATGCTGACTATCATGAATCAAACTGTGCCTATCCAAGTGATCATAAATCCTATCTGTCAGAGCCCTTTCCAATAATTTGCCCACCACTGACATAAGACTAACTGGCCTGTAATTTCCGGGGTTATCCCTATTCCCTTTTTTGAACAAGGGAATGACGTTTGCCTCTCTCCAATCTTCCAGCACTACACCCGTGGACAGTGAGGATGAAAAGATCATCGCCAAAGACCCTGCAATCTCTTCCCTCACTTCCCATAGAATCCTTGGATAAATCGCATCAGGCCCGGAGGACTTATCTATCTTCAAGTTCCTCAAAATTCCTAATACATCTTCCTTACTAACATCAACCTCCTCTAACCTACCAGCCTGTTTCACACTGTCTTCGTCTACAACTAGGTCCCTTGCAGTTGTGAATACCGAAGAAAAGTGTTCATTAAGGATCTCTCCTATCTCTTTAGGCTCCGTGCACAAATTCCCTTTACAATCCTTGATCAGCCCTACCCTTTCTCTGGTCATTCTCTTATTCCTCACGTACATGTAAAAAGCCTTGGAGTTTTCCTTGATCCTATCTGCCAAGGTTTTCTCATGCCCCCTTATA